GTAAATAGTTGTGACTGTCATTGTCGTTTAATACGTCTAATAACTATTGTATGTGGCGTGTTGTGAAATGTGATTTGGTGCGATGTGGTGTGCATTAAGTGTGATGGGAGTCCATGTCAGTCTAAGGGTCGTTTTCAGAATCATCATAAATTGTTATCACCTTTATAATTCTGATGTGTCATAACTTTTGCATGTGCAATAATTAAAGAAACGTAAAATGTCGTGCAAAATTTATGACATTTTAGACTTATGAATGATAAGTGATGAGTGTTTATAATGTGTCTAATGATGGCCCCAGGAATGTGGTCCCAGAAATTGTGGGAATTGACACCCAAAGTCGAACAGACAATTGTTATGGAATTGATGTACATTCCTCCTCCCTGAGAACAAGACAAGACGAGGTGCTCAAGATGAGATGATCCTCATCTCTCACGATCCGGCATCATGAGAATCTCATATGAATGACAAGTAGTGTATCTCGGATCCCTCATCTTCTCTTAGTCATCCTGTGGCGGGTGGGGGGTGGCGGTGTGCATATGATTTCCTGTTGCTATGTCATGTTGTTTGCTCGATAATTGCTCTTCGATAATAACTGCTTGGTTGTTGTTTTTTTATAATTCCTCTGTAGAAACTATTCAGTAAACAGGGTTCGCCTCAGGCATTCCAAAAGGCACGTCGTTTATGGACGGATGGGGGAGGGTCTGGAGGGGGGTCATACCAATCGAAGTCAATTACGTGTGTCATAAGCGGTACCTATACACAGATAGACTTGCTCACTTTGGAGACATATACATCAAGCTGTGAAAACGTGGCATGGCTGTGTTGGGATTGTCAAAAGTGAACATAGCTGGAAATTAAGGCATATTGATTAGGCAATTAAGGCCTATGTAAGACTGGCCATGTCACCTCTTGTATGGTTTAGATGTCTGGGAGAGTATGCCTTCACGTTTTGACATGTCCTTGCTCACGTTGCAGATATAGGTCTGGGCAACACGTACAGCAGTTACCCTGTCAACAACCACTATGACGCCAAGAACACGTACAAGGACGGCTACCTGTTCGACCTGAACAAGTACCCAATCGACACCGGCCCGCGATACGACGACTCCTTTTTCGGCGTGCGAAAGTCGCCGTACAACTACGGTAGTTACGGCAACGGCGACTACGGCGGTGGTCGCTACGGTAATGGCAAGGAGCCATACATCGGCAAGGACACGGGGAGTCCAGACTATCGCTATGGTAACGGCAAGGAGCCATACATCGGCAAGGACACGGGGAGTCCAGACTATCGCTACGGCGATCGTGCGGGCCAACGTTACGATATTTCCTCGCAGGATGGAAGCTACAACAACTGGGATAACAAGTGAGTTGGAGTCGTTAGCGCACCAATACGTCTACAGTAACTGTGCAACGAACACGAAATCACCGCGACAATACAAACATGGGTAGCAATACAAATACAATGCAAGTACAATTGTAACTTGTGCAATTCCAAATCCAAATAAATAAGCAGTGGCAGTAGAGATCCATGAACATGGCGCTGTATGTATTTTTGGTTGTTCTTTCAATTTCGGATTATTTCAATGCTATCTAGGTCGCCGTCTCGTGAAATCAACTGTGCACACGATAACCCGCACCTTCCTCCTCCGCCAACAGGTTTTATGGCCGGGAAGGGATTGACGTCTCTGGCCAGCCGGCGCCGCGGTGGGATGTGAGCCGGGAGGGGGAGAGCAGTGTGCCGGCGCCCCAAGAGCCGGTCATGCTCAACACGCACGGTGGGAAGAAGGGCCCACAGCTTGGCCCGCGGCCGCTCGCCGCCCCGGAGCCTACCATGCACTCCGGTAGCGTATCCCGTCTCGATTGTGCAGTGTCCTCGATAATGCGGGCTCTCGGTGGCACGCGCCATGTAAATAGGCGCCCCCTAGTATTTGTAACTGATGCTGTGAGATTTCGTTAAACACAGTGTAGCTCATGCATTAATAATAATAATGATGATAATAATAAATACAGAAATTAGTAATGTTGTAATGGGTACGATGGTGAATAATAATTTTGTATCCCATTACGTCGTAGCCGTACACTGATGTGTACTTCACAGGACAATTTCTTAATTGGCTTCGCAATTAATCAGCTGCATGTCTTGCACTCTGTGGTGAGGTCAAGTGGTCACATTTATGCTTGCATCGCTAAATGCTGACCTTGCGTGTAATGATGCTCTTACCTGTATACTAATGAGTTCTTTTACCTTGACGGTGACCAGGTCATGAGTTGGCGATGGGGGCGAGTCAGTCTCACGGCCAGATCTCCCCGGCCCAACACTACGCCGCCGGTCAGGCGGCGGACAATGACGACAGCAATGGCGCCCCCTATGGGCAAAATCTTCAAGGTACGTAGAGCATTTGCGCATGTGTTCGGTCGTCTGTATAAGTTATTTGGGTCGCGAGCATTCCACCGCGGTGATTCTCTGCTGTGAAGTTCAAAGAGAATGTAAAGTTCAAAATCTTTAAACATGTCTCTCGTTTACGATGAGGTGAGCTGGCATTTCCAGTTTGGGCCTGTAGGAAAATATTTCTGCCATTTTAGTAATTGTGCCATTTGCTGATCACATCCTATAGTGATATATATATTGCTGTTGTTATTAACAACTAGATATTAGATTATTATTATATTATAAGTAAATGGCAGTTAACAAGGAAATAAAACGACTTTTCAAAGACATTTCAGGTACCTGATTTTAACAGATTGGTTCAATCGCTGCAAATGATAAATAATTTGAGGTGTCTCTGGTCAGATGCAACATTCTTTGTAACTAATAATATTAAAACAAGTTCTTAAAAATATAAATCTGCTCGACCGACGTGAGAGTTTGATTGAGCATGTCTGATGTTGATTTCTGGTTGTTTTCGCCATAGGCACACAAGACAAGCTGCCGCCGTACCAGCCCCAGGGAGTCCAGCGCAACGACATGTACGACCAGTCTATTCATGACAGTAACCGCGGAGGTAACCAGCTGCAGCCAGATAGGAATCGGGGAGCTGTGTTAGGGAATCGGGGAGCTGTGTTAGGGACTCTAGGGCAAGGATATCAGCAGCAACCCTATCAGGTAGACCACAAGCGTACTCAGAGGTGGCACGAGAGTTCACGTGCTGGTTTTACTAAAAATTATTAAAAACGAATTATTTCAAATAAAAAATAAAAACAAATAAAATATAATATAAAATACTAATTGGAATGTTGATAATAAATCAAATTTAGGACCAGTAATAATAAAAAAAATTTATTAGGATAAATTTTTAGGATAGGGATTATAAAAATTATTAAAAGTTATTTAAAAAAAGGTTAAGCACAGAGGTAAACGGTTCCGCTTCTGCATGCCGATCGTCTTTAACTGGATAGAACGTACCATATTGTCGTACGCGAAATCCACTTGCATTAATGAGCTCTAGCTTTGCTAACAAACAGCATCTCTGCCATTATTCGCAGGGCGATGTCCAGCAGGAGGCAGCACGCGTTCCTCCGCGCGAGTACGCGCCCGCCAACCAGCCACCGCCAGAGCGGACGGGCGCCGATAGCGGTGCCATCCACCAAGAGGGCGTCGCCGCTGCCGCATCAGACCCTGCATCGGTGACCCCCGGCAACGCATCGTCGGGCGGCGCGGCGGCGGCGGCGGAGAAGGAGCCGGGCAAGCCGGCGGTCATGCACCTGCACATGGACGTGCAGGAGCAGCAGGTGCAGCTCGAAGAGGAGGTGTTCTCGCCTCAGGCCGCCGAGAACTCGGGCGCGGTGCTCGCACTCTCGCTCGGTCTCGCCGTCACCGCGCTGCTGCTCGCGTTCGTCGGCTGCCGGCTGCGCAGCTTCAAGCGACGCGCGCGACGGCGCGGTCCCCTCAACGTGCACGACCCCGACTACCTTATCAACGGCATGTACCTGTAGGGGGGCGTCGCCGTGTCTTTCAGCGGGGGCATCTACCTGTAGGGTGTGCTGCCGTGTCTGTCAGCGGGGGCATGTACCTGTAGGGGGGCGTCGCCGTGTCTGTCAGCGGGGGCATGTACCTGTAGGGTGTGCTGCCGTGTCTGTCAGCGGGGGCATGTACCTGTAGGGTGTGCTGCCGTGTCTGTCAGCGGGGGCATGTATCTGTAGGGTGTGCTGCCGTGTGCGTGTGCGTGTGCGTGTGTGTGTGTGTGTGTGTGTGTGTGCGTGTGCGTGTGTGTGTGTGTGTGCGTGTGCGTGTGTGTGTGTGTGTGTGTGTGTGTGTGTGTGTAAGGGGTTGCTATAGACCCGTTAATTGCCACAACCCTGACTATCACGGCATTGGCATATAAGCAACAGTAGGTGCTACATTTCCTTTAAGTAAGTGCTCACACCTGACTGTTTCATCAACAGTATGTACCTGTAGGACCACTGCAGTCCTTGTAAATGCCCATACGTGACTCTCACATCCTCAACATGTATGTGTAGGCAACATGGGGACAGGCAGCATATTCCCCTGAATATCGATCGCCCTTATTGTTTGATCAGAAGTGTGATGTCTAACTGCTAAGTGATTCCCAACAGTAGGACTCTTCTTCGTAACAACAAAGCGAAAATGATGACAGCCGAGTTATGATACCATCTCTTGGAAACTGGTGCAAAACTGAACGACAGGTTCAGTACGAACGATGCGTTTCAATAACATTGGGCTTGTACCAAAAACGTGAATTTACTGCTGGAAATCACTGATCTCGAGACTCTCCTTTCCTGAAATCGAGGCTCGCCAATACACACGCCATCTGTCTGCCAGATAAAGTTATGCTCCAAACTTATGCTTCTGACGTCGCAGTCAAAGCGACCCCGATTCTATATCTTACATCCCGACCCCTTAAATGCGTCGCCATAGCAGAGCATCTACCAAACGATATCAATTTCTTTCAATAACATTTCTTGAATTTACCTTGCCTCTTACACCTTTAAATAACACAATAATCAGGGTTTATACTAAACTATGCATTCCATACTACATGTAAATCTAAACGGATGACTTCACTACAATAGATACACGACAATACCTGTCTAATGTTAAGCCGACATGTCTGTCTTAATATACATGTACTACCTGCAAAACGCAAGTATTCGCCATTCGCCAGTGAGTTACACCTTATTCAATCTTTGACATAATGAAGTAGCTTGAAGTGGAACCTTGTCATAACCAACCATCCATCTGACTACTTGATAAACTACTTATCAAAAACGTTTACACTCATATTAGCATGGGTTACCTTACTATGACCTCACAAGAAGTGGCACTAGGCTCGCACCTCTCCATCACATTATCTATATTCGTGCATATGAAAGTAACGCAATCACAAATTCAAACTTCCATTTGCTACACTGTGGATCCATTCAAATTAACACTGTTCCATGATTCCTTGCTTTACGCTTCCAGCCACTTCCAGAAGACTTAATTTCTGCACAAGCCTTACTAGGGTTCTAGTGCTAGGCTTCACCTTTGCTGGTCTCACGAGCTGGTCCTTCCCTGGAAAGGTTTCTGTTACCCTTCCAATCCGCGACTTCTTCCTCGGTAGGTCATCGACGATCAGCACTACGTCCCCTCCCTCCAGATTCTTTTTCTCTTTCAGCCACTTCTGGCGCTGTTGCAAGGTAGGTAGATATTCCCTTATCCACCTGCCCCAAAATACATCAGCCAGATATTGTACCTGTCGCCATCGTCGACGCCCATACAGATCATGCCCTTTGAACACGTGAAGTGGGATATTATTGCTCGGCCTCAGGAGAAGTAGATGATTTGGCGTTAGAGGCTCTTGATCCCGCACGTCATCAGATGTTACAATGAGTAGACGCCCATTGACAATCGACTCAACCAGACACATAAGAGTCGATAGGCTTTCATACGGATGGTTTGTTGCTGAGCCATTTAGTTAGTCTGAAGCCTCCATTCCCCCCTCAAATTTGATCAAAGCCCTCAGATCAACTGCAAGTTTCACTGCGGTTTCCTCACTCTCAACTGACACCAAACAGTCATCGACGTAGAAATTCTGCAGAATGGCCTCTGCTGCTTCGGATTTACCATCATCTTGACTATTTCCTGCTGTTTGACGAAGTGCATAACTGCAACAACTCGGACTCCATGTACCTCCGAAGAGGGGGCACACATCCGGAACGTCATTGGTTGTTTGTGGAAGTCCCCATCCTTCCACCACAGAAATACCAGGACATCACGATCTTCTGGAGGCACTCTTACCTGATGAAACATCGCCTCAATGTCTGCCATGCGTGCCACAGGTTGTTAGTAAGGTCCGGCCCCTGTAGCACTACGTCGTTCAGAGATACTCCTTGCTACTTGGCCGCACAATCGAAGACGATTCTTACCTTGTCCGGCTTTTGGGGACTCAAGACGGGATGGTGTGGCAAATACCAAACAGTGGTGTCTTTGGTTTTGAATGTCTCATCACAGACCTCTTCTGCATAGCCCTTTCTGAGCAGCTTCTCTATGCCTTGTTTGTATTTCATACATAGAACTTTATCCCTTTGCAATCTCTTTGCCAGTGATAGCAAACGGTGTTCTGCTGTCCCTCTGTTATTCGGCAAGCTAGGCGGTTTCTTCTTGAATGGCACTGGTAGTTGGTAATGTGCACCTTCCTGTATGACATTCCTTTCCCAGACATCTAGGACCTTCTTATCGTTGATAGACATTCCTCTGTCTTTCTGAAGTATATCCGATCCTTCGATTTTCCCGAACTTGTGAACTTGTTCTTTCAACCCAACAGCACTATGGATAGACCTAGCTGTAGCCTTACGTGTTTCATCTGAACTCTTGTAACCTACAGGTCCATTCACTGACCACCCCAGTCGTGTCCTCACAGCATAAGGACCATCTCTCTTAACTACGCGCAGCAGCGTTCAATTGCGTACAAACAGTTTGCCACTGTACTTGGTTTCTGTTATTCTTTTAACGCACTGATAATCGTCTATCTTCGCACTGATCATGACTTGTGCTGTTGCATGAGGTGCCGAATTTTATTCTAGTGTGAGAAATAAGATCTATAATAACTCGCGATGCAGAGTCAAATATTGAAACAGTGTTCGATTTTTGAATTGTAGCGACTACACACTATTGTAATATAATATACTTGCATGTACATTAGAATCATGTGAAGAATGAAGGGTTTTGGCATTGACACGGGCAAGCTCGTTCGAACGCCTGTTTTTGGGAGCAAAGATGCCTAAGCGTCTATTATACTCAATCTGGCGAAATGTACTGATTGATTAGATACGTATTCCATGCGGTATCTGGTACAATCATTCGTGAGACGTGTGTACTGTGTAAGCAGTGTAAAAAGTCGGTAGTCTGACCCAGCAAACATTTTGGAGTTGATATTATATTAATTATCATAGGTTCGTTTCACTGAAATTGCATTGGACCTGACATGGCCTCCTGGGACATGTGTGTTTCCCTTTATCGTGACACACTATTTTATGTTTTCATGTTGCCAGCGTTGTCTTGCCCATTTATTTATGTCCTCGCCCGCTCCACTCATTGTATCGAGTGTTAGTGTGTTTTTCCAGAATCTACAAAACCGTAGAAATAGATATACACCTATCTATATGTATATATCTATTTCTTTGCTACAACCCGTTATTGATTGTGCGTGTGCTTGTGATTGTGATTGTACGCATCGCAGGTCATACGGCACCTGATTTATTGTTATGTCCGTCTACTTCCCGCCAACCAATTTGTAGATATGTTACTTCTGAGGTTTTCATGACCCACACCCCACCGCCCCCACCCCACCTACTATCACCAGTACAACAATCCGCCCTAACCGTGACTGTGATGTTGTGCGGCGTCTAGTCCTGACAGTTCGATTGCACGTAGTGTACACCTATGTTAGGGTGTCTTGTGTGCGTGCGTGTGCGCGTGTGTGTGCGTGCATCAGTAAATGCGTGCACGTATCCGTGATTATTCTGTGCGTTCTATCTGACCGCCAACTGTGTTAGGTGTTAGTCCACCGAACTGTGTGTGCTTCCCACCACATTATTCTGCAATATACGATTCGTCGCTAGACGGTAGGACACCTGCGCGAGCGTCTCTCCTGGCTGTGATTATATTCAATCGGCTGAAGGTCACTTATACTGCATCGTATCGGAAATGAAATATCTCGAGAGCTTCAGTTGTGTTCTGTAACGAAAGTGTTGTTTCTACCGATTCCAAAGAGAAATACAGCTTAAAATATTTATTTGATTTTTAAATTTTATTTACAAATTTTATTTATGTGTAATTTATGTATATAAATGTGTGTGTGCGCGTGTGATCGAAAGAAAAGTCAAGTGATGTAACACGTAATCAGAATTTTTCTTTTTGTTTATTTTACCAGTATATGGTAAAGCATTTAACAATCGTAAGGAAACCGATTTGTGATATTATATTGGCAGATATATGGGCGATATGTGAATTATGATTGTGAAAATAATCAAAATTATCGTGGTAGTTATATATGCAACTAGCCGTACATTTGACAAGTTTACTCTCCATTGTGTATTCCGTTGATTCCAGTAGTAGACTGTAATGGAGGTGAAACGAAATTGCCACCGCACTGCAAAAATAAATATTTAATTTCCAGCTTGCTAACCTGATTAATGAGTGTGCGTATGTGAAACCTAGCACAGAATGGAATCAACGGGATATATTCGAAAGGAAGTTCGAGTAAAGACAAATTCCCTTGTTACTTGTATTATTGAGGAAACCTGTATCTATTAATATGTGATTGTATGTGTTATAATATGGCATAACACGGTTAAACGTATAGTTTACTGAAAGTTGTTGATTGCCATCCAATTATTTATTACGAAAGAACTTGTCACTATCAATAGTCGTGTATTAAAGACTAGTGGATGCATTGAAAATTATATGTGAAAGGAAAACGCCGTGTCTTTTGTAAAGAAAATAAAATTATGACTAAAACTTGGTTTTAATTCGTGTATAATCTGTCAAATAACGATGTATAACTAGCGTTTATGTATTTATCAAAACTGGTGGCGTTACTTTTTTTAAGGCAAGCTTGCAGCCATGCAAGCATGCAGTAGAATCAAGAGCCCATTAACCTTCATAATACCCCTGTCACACCTTCGCGCGATCATGCTCGCGCTCCCACTGCCACCTGAAGGTATGAAAGCGCGAGGAAAAGCGCAGTCCATGGAAATCCATGGCGTGGTGTGACCATGGTGTGACACCATGTAGCTTACAGTACGCTCTTGACTCGATTATTACGCTCTCACTGCGATCCTATGCGTTCCCAGTTTGATCTTCAGTGCGCTCTCAATGCGCTCAGTGCGCTCCCACTGCGCTCTGTGCGATCTCAGTGCGTCCAAGTAGCTCTCGCTGCGCTCTTACTACGCTCTCAATACGTTTGCAACTCGCTCACTGTGCGTGCGCAGTTTATTTTATTTTGCATGTTTGGGGACGTCTGACTTTTATGTTTGGGGAATTGGGATTTTTTTGTTTAAGTTTAAGTTAATATAACTTTATTTAAGGACATTTAAGAAATTACATAAGCAAGGCATTATGCATAAAAGAAACAGAACAAAATTTATTTATTTTTACATTACCATATTTATTTCAAACATACAATATTGTGTACTGTGTACTTGTGAACTTTTGAACTGTTTTTTTGTAACTGACATTTTATATCATGCTATCTTGCCAGTGCACAGAGCGTGCAGGTGAATTGAAGTACAGCTTGAGGTATTCTCGTTGTTTCTTGGCTGCAGTGGTAACACGGTTGTTCCCTCTAATGTTGTTCAGCTCGTGCATATTTGCATCAGCCCTCCAAGCACCTGGGATCAGTTGGTGGTTGATATCCTCCGCATCTAAGGCAGCATTCTGAATGGTAGGATAACGCAGTCTCATCAAATTATGAAGACAGACGCAGGCCTCGACGATCAGTCGTATGGTGTCAGGTTCATGCTGCATGGTGGTCAGGAGAAGGATGCCAAAGGCGTTCTCCACAACGCGACGCCCTCTAGATATCCTGTAGTTGTAGATCCTATGCTCTTTGGTCATCTTGCGCATCAAGTAAGGCTTCATTATGTTGGTCCGCATCGCGAGCGCATCATCAGCCAGGAAGAAATATGGCATGTCCCTGTCGTCATTTGTTAGGGGGTCTGCTGGAGGAAGTCAAATGGTCCCATCTACTAGGCACTCATTCAGCTCTGAATCATTGAAGATCTGTGCATCTGACATGTGTCCGTGCCCTCCGACATTTATCCAGAGGAACTTATAGTCCGCATCGACGAGGCCCATTAGAACAATGGAAAAGATGCCTTTATAGTTGTGATAAAGGCTTCCACTGTTCGCTGGCTTTCTGCAGGCAACATGTTTTCCATCAAGGGCTCCACCGGCATGAGGGACGTTCCATCTACGTCACGCCCTTCTTCAGGGGAGATTGGACAGCTGATGACTTCCTCCTTGTACTCATCTACGATGGCCTAGCAGACTTCTCCTACTAGGACAGACATGGTGTTATGAGGAACTCTGAAGTCAAACTTCATGCTGGCGTACTTGTCACCGGTTGCTAGGTGGCGCATAGTAATTGCAATCTTCAACCCTGGTTCCATAGCCTTCCTATACATGGTGTCTTGTTTGGTGCATCTTGGACCAAGTCTTGCTAGGAGCTCATCAAACATCTTTGGTTGTACTCTCAGGAAGTTAAAGAAGGATGCAGGATCTTCGTGTCGTAGCTCGGCTATTAGGCAGTGATAGTGGCCAAACTGAACTCTTCTCCCCACGTTTAACCATGGTCGAACCAGCATCTCCTCTTCCTTCTTTCCCTCCTCCTTCTTCTCCTTCTTGAGAAACGGAGAACGACGGAGAGCGATCGACAGAGACGAAGAATGGCGGAGAGCGAGATGGGAGGAACAAAGCGAGACGTGGGAGCGAGAACGGTGGATACACACGGCGTGAGAGCTATGTGAGTAAGTCAGAGTGAAGTAAGGAAGGGCCGGTGTTGCATCCGTGATACTGCGAGGGCAAGTCCGAGTCTCGACCTGTGTGTGAGAAAGAGGAGAGCAGAACAGAGAAGGCAAGGCTGACAGAGCAGAGACAGAGGACGTGAAAGATATATTGCGAACTGTAATGGCAAAAAAAATAATTCCAGATTTAATTGGTGAAAAGCTTCAATCTCGTGCCGTCGAAACTGGACGTGAAAGTGTGACATCGTCAGGAATGTGTATTTTTATCTGCTTTTATTTGTTTTATATACGCGGAAATTTTTTCATGGTAACCGTATATGTTTGTGACCGTTTGACTTTGTGTGGGAAACTTTTTTGTGTGAAACTCTGGATAGAAATGTGTGATCGTTTTCTTGAATTTGTGCTAACGGTACATTTACGCTATATTGTCAGACTGCTAAACACATTCTTTAATTAGAGTTTGATAGGCCTAAAACATTTCATCGAAAATATCAAATCAGTTTTGCGCATTTTGTTGGCTGTGTGATGTGTGAAAGTGACAAAGGTTGTCAGGCCCACATCGGTGCTGTATGTAAGCATGGGATTAAGAGGTTAAATGAGGATGTAATGGAGCATATGGCTAAACGTGGTTTTGGTAATGCGTGTCGGTATACGCATACGCCACGTACGTTACAGCATAAAAATACGAAAGACTGAGAGTAATTGCAGCGATATCAAAATGTTCACCGCCAAATGTGTTAAATTTCTGACTAGTATGGTGATCGAACTTTATCGTTACTTGTTTTGTGCATCGTGTTATGAAAAGGGGGAGAGAAATGTAACAGCTGTTTGTTCACATACCCAGTAGGCGCGTTCACACTGGCGCGAATAAGCGGGATGCAAATCCCGGTTTTTGCATCGCGATCGAAATACCGAGATTATTACAAGTGTGAACGCAATAATACTCACTAATAATCGCGATCAGCATCGCGCTCCAAATCGCACTTTTGACTGCGATTATTTGGAATTAGCGCGATTATTTGCGTGTGTGAACGCTTGCGCAAATAATCCCGGTATTTTCTATCCCATCATTTCAAGCGAGTGAGCAGTGAGCATGCGCAGTGAGCATCATTCCGGCAGTGAGCATGCGCAGTGAGCATCATTCCGGCAGTGAGCATGCGCAGTGAGCATCATTCCGGCAGTGAGCATGCGCAGTTCGATTAATAGAATTATCCCGCTCGGCGATTAGCGCGATTATTCGCCTGTGTGAACAACGACACAATTATCTCGATATTTCATCGCGATTAGCATCGCGGTTTTTCTTGTGTGTGAACACGCCTAGAGACTATTATTTTAGCAGTGAGCGTGACGCGACGCATCTTTTGTATCTAGCAGTTTGACACATCAGTGTGAATGTGTTGTACCAGAATGCAGGGTTATGGCTAAAATGTGGGAGAGTCTGGTTGTGGTCGCGGGAAAAAGCGCACGCGCTTACTGCAGCCGGCTGAAAGGTGCGATCGGATATGTTTACTAGGCACTTCTAATTTTAACATATATTTTACGATATATTAAAGAATGATGCAAAAACCATAAAAAGTGCCCTAACCCTAACCCTAACCCTAACCCTAACCCTAACCCTAACCCTGACCCTAATTAAATTTAAAATATATGTTAAAATTAGAAGTGCCTAGTAAACATATCCTATCGCACCTTTCAGCCGGCTGCGCGCTTACTCGCGTGTGCGTGTTGCTTTATCCCTGTGTGCAAGGAGATGTGACGTGAGCAGATATTAAAGTTTATGCAGTTCAAGACACACGTTTGGATTTCTACATCATTATTTTTACATGAACACTTAATTCAACGTTACAGTAGTTGTGACCTACATATTAGCTAGTGACAAGGTAGTACAAGTGCGTGTTTTACAACTAATACCGATGCACGATATTAGTTGTAAAACACGCACTTTTACACAAGTATGCGGCTAGAAGTCACTGTGTCTACAAAAGTCCCGATTGATGCTATTCGTTCACTTATAACCATGCAGGCACAACATGGGCACAAGAGATCGTATGGCTAATCTGCCACGACGCTGACACTAATGCTGCCAAAAAATCTAACCTCGAAGACAGATTTCCCAACTTGGAGCACCTCTATCCAGGTATAGGGCATCGTCATTACTCACAACACGAGAGTAGATATCCTCCGTGTAGCTTGTTCACACGAGGTCTATGATTTAATGACGTTTGTTTTTTATTCATGACAATTTAACGTTTATGTTTCGTGATGGTGTTTTTATGATGGTTCATTAAACCTTGAAACTTGAAATACACTGCCTATAAAACATTGCCATTCTTTCAATGGATGTATTTCTATTATTGCTCGCTATTCGTTGCTCGCTAACTGTCGTTTTCCTGTTTCCAATAGACAGATACGTACCAAACATCACATTATTTCAAAGTTCGATTACTTCATCCATAATTTATGACTCTAAATAACTCATAAATATGGTTATATACACTACACAATCCTATAGATAGTCATACGTTCACAGTATATAGCTATGCTTCACCAGTCATCTATGGGTGTGGTATTACAGGTGTTAAGAAAATTGCGAAAACGCCACCACCACGCTATATCAAATCACATCTCCCTTACGGAGTCATTCCCGCCGACATCTGGAGAGCTAAGTGCAAAGTGAGTACGTGCAAGAATATATATGTATATATGTATTGATGTGAGCTAAAAAAATCTTTCCATTGTATATATCTCGCGGAGACTCAGAACATTGATGAAATCTCCGAAAAACCAAAAAATACAATACATTAATATAAATATAATGTTTATCCTTGCCGTGTATATTGTATATAGGTTGTCTACGTCGCACGCAACCCCAAAGACACATCCGTATCGCTGTATCACTTTGCGCGTCTGCTACGGGTCACCCGGTTCACAGGCACCTTCGGGGAGTTCTTCCCTCATTTCACCGATTCTCCTGGTAAAATACTATAAAAATTATAAATAACTATAAAAAAAATACTATAAAACACTAGCGGCGAGAAGAATATATCACCATTTAAATCTCCTCTCGTTTGTTTTCCTGTTCTTCTTCCTGTTTCCTTTTCTATTTCTTTTTAGCCTCTTTCTGCTGCTATTGCTGAGGTACTCGATGTCATTTACGCAACAAGCACGTTTATAAAATAATTTAATTCATTTCCGAGTCTTTAAAGTTTCCTTTCATCGTATTTCCTCTATTAAGACGGAGGGAACTCAATTTTAACATTTAAAAAACGTGTGAACATTGTATTTCAGCATTTTACGGTGGCTACTGGAGGCATTTGAGAGGTTTTTGGCGCATGCGCGAAGAGCCAAACGTTCTCTTCCTGTTTTACGAGGATATGTTGAAGGTGAACGAGTGGTACAATACCGTTGTTATAGTTACGGCACTTAAGTGATCGTGTATGTCATAGCGTTCCGCCAGGTGGTGCTACTGTGTAGATAAAAATTATAGAAATAATATAGATAGATATAATCAGGAGTAAGATAATATAGGATATCCTATATTATCTTACTCCTGATATAATTATATAGATAGAATATATAGGTAGAAATATAAGGTAGATATATAGGTAGAATAATATAGGTAGAAATTATATAGGTAGGTATATGGGTGTCTCTATATATTTCTATGATATTAACATAAAGAGTCACGTGAATAAGAACTCAGGCGTGAAATCTGTTTTTAATCACTCTTGATAATATAAACAGTTGATATCTCTATACATTTCTTTGATAAAAAGAAAAGTATATTAATTAGAGAATTCAGGTAATTTTCTAATTAGTGCACTCCGGACAAAAATGTAACTCAAGGTATCTACCTCATAATAATAAGGTAAAATAATGGTTATATAATAAAGAGAAAATATACAACAATCGCAAACCAGTCGCAGGGGACGATTTCTGTGACCCCAAGTCGCTTCTATGCGTTGTTGCTACGTCCACGATACGCTCATGTTGCGCTGCCACGGCGACTGTACTGCGTCATTACTTGTTTTGATTTGGACCAACAAAAGCGCCGAGGTTAGGCGCTCAAGGTAGCTCATGGCGACCCTCTTCCGTCCTTGACAGTTTCCACTGCGTCACCAACTCGTTCTCAGAGACCTGGGTATAGACGATTTGTTATACAGTAAGTACAGTTGTATGCAGTAAAATCCTAGAGGCTACTATCACTTTAATCTTGCAAGTGTTTGCAAATATTCAGACAAAGCGACCTGAGGATGTCCGACTCTCTCGACGATGACGAAAGAAAGAGGGGGCTGCGTATCTACGGCCGAGAGGTTGCTGATGTTCCCTGCCTTCGATCATCCCTGCTATCAGGAGTTGGGGCCGGGTTCACAGGTGGCTTCCTTTTCTTCATGGCCACAAGTCGAGCGAAGCGCGCGACAGACTTCGCCATGGCAACGTTCATCGTAGCAACAACAGGCATGTGGTGCTACTGCCGATACAACTGGTCATCAGAGCGTTTTAAATTTGCAACAATACAGCATTCGATGAAGAACAAGACCGTGCATGAAGAAACATTCATGGATACAGGATCTGCTGATAGTCAACAGCACAAGAAACAGCCAGAGGCATCCTGATATAAGAAATGACAATGACGAGGACATTCTTGATACATGGAGAGTTTTTCCAGGTAGCAAATGTTTTAGTGAGATTGTTGCAAACTGAAAAGGTGTAGTGAAATATCAAATAAGTGAAACATTGGTGTATTTAAAGTAGAACTATGTGATTTATTCTGTTTCTCTCTAACATGTTCGTTATCATACAGCTGATTGCTCATTAGTATAGATTTCATTACAGATGTCTTTTACAATTGAATACATTAACGTCATCATTATGTCTGTAATTTAAATATATTGTTTGATATGTGCACAATTGTTTTATATACAAAGGCATGGGAATATAACTGGTGAAATGGATAAGAAAATTATTGTCTACTCATTTATTAAGTAACCCTATTGTTTGTTTTAAATAAAATGTACTTGATACTGAGATCAGGGATTTTACGTTAAATCTGTGTGTAATGACACACTATGCCAAACATCCCAATAGACCTTTTCATTTGGACATTATGTGCACAGGAACAAGTTTCTTGTATGGGATTTTCACAGTTTTTTATATTGCGGTCAACTGGGGTTTTAAAACAATTTAGCTTTGAAAAGACACTCGAGTCATTACACTACCAATCATTGGCAAATTACACACCTTCAGGGACGAATTAGGCTATATTCGGCACACTTGGTCACTCAGAAATAGTGCAACTAACCAGGTATATTTGGGTTAAAGGACAGAGTTAGTACTAACTTCACCGTGCTTGCAAGCATCACAGGGTATGACCGGTTTGAAAAAGATTTGCAGGTTGAAATAGAAGAGAAATTTCAAATTAGAGAACACACTTGGAGTTTTAAACGAGCTGCTTTGAAATATGGCTAATGAAGTCATACCCTGACCACGTTCGTCCAGAATCTAGCTTACCATGCTAGGATCCATATTCTGCTAATACAATGCAATATTTCAGAGAGACATTCCTGTCACGCACCTCTCTTTCTCTCTCTCAGGTTATTTCTCCTGCTTCCATCATTTCTCTATTTCATTGCCGTGTGCGTATCTTTACCTCGTCCTGACCCCATTAACTACAGCTTATTATTTGACTCTCTGTACTGAGCTTCTCATATTCCTCTTATCCTCTCCTCTCTTCACTTCTCGCTGTTCTCGCATTCTATCGCACCTTGCCGCTATCCACCTTATATTCGATCCCTTTGGTCGTTCGCTTCTCCTCGCTGTCTTCCCCCGTTTCATCCTATGTTTGCCTTTACTACTTCATCTCCTTCGCCATCTTTCTTATACACGTTTTCCCATCTTTGCTTTGTTTCCAAGTAACATAGCGAGCTGGCATTCTGAGCTACTTCCCTTAGCCTTGAATTCTGCAGCATATACATTCGTCAGTTAAAAATATGCGGGAAAACACGTTCTGCTGATAATGCTTGATTAAAAATAATTTTAGTTTCACACGAAGTGATATTACAAATCGACAAGCAAAACAATAATAAGACAACCACTATTATTATACGAAGTCGAAATATTGTCTGTTTGTTTTATCTGTAAATGCATTTTGCCTTGACACTACTATACATTCATCTCAGTACCTTCAAGCCACACAGCACGCACGCAACAATATTCGCCGATGATGTAGGCGGTGATACGGTACACCGGCGTATTTGGACGCTCGGAGTAGACTACTGCGCATATTGGTTTATTATAAATTAAAATTTACGAACTATTTAAAATAATATACGTTCGCATTAGAAGTTAAAAGCGCAACAGCAGAACATCCTAAACCTTTCAGTGTTTTCGTTACACAGGACACCCCTGCGGTAATTAGGAAAATCGCAAACTTCTTCGAAAAACAACTCACTGAAGAACAGGTAATATTTGCCCTAGCTCTACGATAGTACAGAGAATAACATGTTTCGTGAGTAGATGTGCTCACTGTTGACGATATGTAGGTCAAGCATCTCATTTTCGAAAGACTAGTGGTACTTATATGCACTTGTAACGATTTCTCTACTTCAGATCTCCGGATTAATGCGAACACTTGTGCCAGCCTTCATTTGTTCGCTGTGCACACATCGTGTCTGTGCACACGCCGGTGCCTGTCACATTCTATCTTTTGTGACGTTGTACACAGTAGCGTGCGTCCGGTGACATTCACTGTGTGTTGTAGAACAGTATTTAAACGGCATCTACATGAAATTATTCCGTAACAGAGAGTAATTAGTAGTAAAAGATTGGTATAAAAGTAAAAAATATAAAATTATGATAGCATTTATTAACCATTTTTGTTTTATTTGAACCAACCATGCGTCCATGCTTACTGCTGTTTTCATGTTGATTCACACTTCAACAGGTACAGAAGATTGCCCGGTACTGCAGCTTTGATGAAATGAAGCAAAATTCGTTGTCGAACATGGAGTGGATGAAGGAGGCCGGTTTCTGGATGGATGGCGAAGGAGGTCTAATGAGAAAAGGTGTGAAATCAACCAAATTACTAATTTTATTTTAAAATTGAGACTGAGAGAGATATTGAAAGATTTTTTATTCCGTATTTGGGATAGATGGCGATGGAAGTCTGGTGAGAAAATCTGCAAAATCAACAACATGCATTTATTAAACAGTGTGAGTCTAAAAGTAAACTGAAAAAACTGAGCGGTCTCCCTTCCCGAAATTTCCACAGTCCACTGAAGTGAAGAGAAATCTAGGTAAAGAAAAACTTGAAGAAGCGAGAGACGATGCAATACAGTGTGAAGCCGATTAGGCTTCTATTTGCAGCCTTTGATACGATTTTATCACTTTTCACAATTAACTCTAGACAGACGTGTAACAGCAACCATTACATAGCGCCAAAGATAACTACCGTGGCGATAAAAGGTACATTCAAGAGCGCGTAACCCGTAGTGGTAATAACTGCGTGCACATAAATAGTTAACGCGCTCTCGATCGAATTAATCTAATGCGCTTCGCAGGTAAAGTTGGCGACTGGAAAAACGACTACACACCAGAGATGAGTGCTGAAGTGGATAGACTCGTCGAAGAGAAACTTACGCCACTTGGAATTCAGTTTACATATACGAGTGGTTAGATTGATTAGTTACGCACTGTCGCAGCTCATCAATATAGGGGTGCATTACTTGGGAGGACTACCATCCACGCCGAGCCAGAATCAGCAAACGCGAGTCAAGTTCAAATCTGTGCGAGACCATTATTGTCGTGTGTATTATTATTAAAGCTGCGCAACTTAAGAAGTTCGTTTTAAGCAACTCCAGCTTATAGAAGTTAAGGATACTCACCACGTTGTGCATGAAATTTGATCGATTTTTCGTTTTCAACTTTATTCGATGGCTAACACTATGTCCCACCTGTGTACATGCTCATTTCTCCATATAACGGTACATGTGAACCCTTAGAGCGTTTTTGCTTGCCCCCGTACATGTAGTAAGCAGC